ACTGAATCGCAGTAAGTTTTGAAATAAAAGAATTAGAAAAAAACAAAAAAGATTCAAACTTAGTCCAAACTAAGAAACGTTATAAAGACCCCAGACCTGCAGATCCATGACCTCTAGTGGCCCCCGACCCAACGTTGGCAGGCAGAGATCTAAAGAACCAATAGCTGAAGAAAAAGACACAAGTTTAGGACAGCATCAGTGGATCAAACATTAGGAAACACCTCATCCCTGCATTAAACTTGAGGCAGGGCCGGATTTAGGAAATTTGGGGACCAGGCAAAGACAGGCAGGGGGGCCTCTGAATTAAAAAGACAACAGATAAAAAGACCCATTATACAGATAGAGAAATGTCAATAGAAAATATTTCATTACTTGTTCTAGGGGTTGCTCGGTGGCACAGTGGGTAGCACTGCTGTCTGTGTTGCCCTGCGATGAACTGGCGACCTGTCCAGGGTGGACCCCGCCTCTAGCCCGTAGACAGCTGGAGATGGGCACCGGGACCCGACTTAGGATTAAGCATGCCAGAAAAAGGATCGATGGATATATTTGTTCTAGGTTTTGTCCCTTTTCTTGTTGTTTTCCTCTTCAGTGTTTTGTTTTCATTCCAGCCTTTCCTCCTTTACACTGATTTATAAATGCATGTTTCCGTCTGAAAGGAATGAGAGGAGGAGGAAGTTGTGCTGATCTGTTTCCTTCTCTAGCTTCAAACCTCCTCGGTCAGTCGATCCCATCCTGGACTTCAGGTGATGAAGAGATTCATGAAGTTCAGGAGAACTTTAGGTCGCCTACAGAAGGGCTGCTTTAATGAAGACATCGAGGAGACAGGATTTCCTTTAGCTGGGATCACCCCCCCCCCAACTACAGGCTGGTTGCCATGGCGACAACAGACCACTTGTCGACTTGGGTGTCCTGGTCTTAATCCTGCAGCCGTTAATCTGCTTGTTCATAAGAAAGACTCAGTTTGTTGGAGCTCCAACTTCTGATGCCACCTGGGAGTGTGTGTGTGTGTGTGTGTGTGTGGGGGGGGGGCACTCTGAAATGACATTCAGGAGAAACAAAGACCATGAGAACGTTGCAGTCCTGCCATCTTCAGCTCCTCTGCCTCCTCATGACCACCAGCTGGACGGTCAGCGGCCTCAGATTGGCGCTGAAGCGGGTCTAAATGAAGACGCCTCTTCAGAGCAAAGAAAGGTGCTCCAATTGGCCAAGTATAGCGCCTCCTACGGGCAGCAACGGGTGGAACTAAAGAGGCTAATGGGCTGAGATGGATCCTCCCATTATGGCCAAATATGGAGGCTTAAATTCATATTTTAGGATCCCTCCAGGTTCCATCACTGTTAGCTTTTACCAATTTATAATATTATGATGTTTAACAGAAAAATGGCTGACATTCTCCTCGCTAAAGGTCTACACATAATCTACAGACATAGCCAGCTGTACTTTATGGTGTGTATGTGGGGGGGGGCAGAGAGCCGCCTCCAGCTCTGCAGATAAAAGCTGTGATCATTGAGGTTGAAATTTGGACAAAAAAATGTCCAAGGAACCGATCAGTTATAGTTACTGTGCTGACGGGTGTCAACATAAGAAGGTTCTGAACAGGGGCCTGTGGCCCCCAGTGGCCCCTGTTCAGAACCACAGACTAAACATTTATCAGTTTCATTCAGTCATACTGACATTATTATTTTTATTATATTATTATTTCTAATGTTCATTAGTGATGATAACCCTAGGATGCTAAATCAGGTGGCCTACTTTAAACCCTGAGATGAAATTGTTGGGATCATTTCTATAGATGATGTGTGAGATGGATGTCTCCTCATCTGCTAACATCTATGATGTAATGATGTGTCGGACTGGAGGTTTCTTTAACTGTAATTCTGGGCCAACTTTATTGAGAGGTGAGCCCGGTTGGTAGAGCAACCTTTTGTAACTCTAAGCAACGTCTCTGATCTGAGTAGGATCACTGTTTTCACGTTTTCTGGTTATTTAGTGTGATTGCTCTGAGTGATCTCTGCTCTGGAGGGAGAAAGCTTCACCGTGGAAACAGAGCTTTGCTTAACCTAATGGATAACCTTTAAAGGGAAAGTCCGATCATGTTCAGAATTCAAACTTCTGAAAGTACTTTAAATCAGAAATTATTACATACTGTTCAATAAATTAGTGTTTTTAATTCACAGTAATTTTCATTTGAATGTGCTTTACTGGGGGCATCCATGTTTGTCAAAGAACACTACTGCCACCTACTGGTTTGTGACGTCACGGTGTGGTATCGGCTGTTGATCAAGTCCCAGTGCTGTATCTGGTGTCTGTCACAACGCGCTATTATCCAAGTCATCTTGAAAACATTCTTCCTCCAAACGTTGGCTACATATTACGTGTTTTTTCTCTGGCCAGAGGTTTGATCGCAAATCCTCCATCTTCAAGTTGGCAATCCAACGATGAACCCGTCAGTGGCGGATCAGGAATCGGAAAGGTGAAATAACTTTTTTTTTTTCAGTATTACCCGATGTATTCTAACATCCAACTGCCATGCACGTGGACATTGTCAGTTTCACTATAGCTCTGGTGAATTTCAATGGTGAAGTCCTCTGGAAATCTTCAATAATTGTTGCAGGGTCCCTACAGCATAAGGCAAGTTAAATTTTTTAAGACTTTTTAATGCCACTTGAAATAAAAATTTAAGACCAAATTCACAAGAAAAACCTGCTTGCGACAACTTAACCCAAAGGTTTATTTTAACATAAACCACTGCACTAATGTTTGAAATTTTGAAAAACTTCCCATACAGGAAGAAATAAAAAAAAAACACACAAATGACAGATATATTTGAACAATTATTTAAAGGTATAC